TCCTTCCTTCCTTCCTTCCTTCCTTCCTTCCTTCCTTCCTTCCTTCTTTCCTTCCTTCCTTCCTTTCTTCCTTCTCTCTCTTTCTTTCTTTCTTCCCAGACTGCTTACTTTAATATCAGCTTTAGTATCCATGTGTTGCTTGAACCTGTAATTTAGGGGGCATCTGGGGACTGGAACACACGTCCCTCCCCCTTGGTGGTCAGATCCCCCTTGGGATCAGCTTGTCTGCTTTGACCTCTTGGGACATTTTCTGTTCCTCCTCCTTCTTCCCTAACAGGTACCATCAGCTCTGCTTATTTCATTTCAAAGTGCTTTTGAGTTTTTCTATACTAATCATCCTATTTCTTAGAATGCTGAGGCAAACAATGTCTCTAAACAGCCCGGAAAAGAAGCTTACTTCTTTATGTTTGCTTTGAGAAGACGTTCTTCCCCCACTCTCATCTGCCTGCATCAGCTGAACATTGCAAAGAAGTGTAAAGGTTTGGTGTGGGGGTTCAGCACATCCTAGAATAAACACCCCAATAAACAGAGAATAGAATATCTCAACACAATTATTACCAAAATAAATACAAACATTTTCATGGGTGGTGTCCTACAAGAATGAAAAAAAAATCTGTTTTTCTGTCCATCAGATTCAAATATGTCTGATCCCCAAAGGAAAATGCAAACAGTCTTAGCACATCCACAGGCGCACACCAGCAAGCACCCCTGGGTGTGGTCGGTACTCACCCCGCAGCCCAGGCCATTGCCCGCTTCGCAGATGACTTTCCTCTGGCCCTGTTCAGGCAGCAGCCCAGCTCCGCAGCCAGGTCGGGGACACAGCACCCCTCCCATCTGCAGCACACACTCCTCGGCCCCATACTGCTGGTACCTGTTGTACTGGAAGAAGCAAAGGCAAGGTGAGCTTTGCACAGTGATCTGGAGTGGTTTTGGATGAATTATTTCTGCCTGAGGCTTCTAGTTGAAGAGCTCAGGGGGTGTGTTCTCAGCTTGACTCAGTAATGGGGGAATGTTTGATGGCGGGGTGTATGGTGGGGGTATGCGGAGTAAAGGTATGACTTGGCACAGAGAAAGTTTTCCAGACTCAAAACCCAAAAGAATTACTTCATAGCCAGGCATGGTGCCAAATGCCTGTAATCCCAGCATTTTGGAGGTAGAGGATGGAGGATTTGGACCTTGGGGCTAGCCTGTGATACAAGAGACTTTTTCTGAAAACCCAGGGGAAAGGTGAAATATTTGTTCTATACATTTTTTTTCTTTAGAAAACAGATGTTACCCCCAAATCTAGTGTTCTGTGACACTGTGCCTACCAACTGTATTTTACCTAACTTTTAAGCACTATGTGTGTATATTAAGTAGTGGACATTATCCATCTTTTTTAATGTTTTTTATTTTTATTAATTATACTTTATTCACTTTGTATCCCCCCCATAAGCCACTCCCTCCCCACCCTCCCTCCTCCTTCTTCACGCATGCTCCTCCCGAAGTCCAATGATAGGGGAGGTCCTCCTCTCCTTCCTTCTCATCTTAGTCTATCAGATCTCATCAGGAGTGGCTGCATTGTCATCTTCTGTGGCCTGGTAAGGCTGCTCCCCACTCAGGGGGAGGTGATCAAAGAGCAGGCCAATCAGATTATGTCAGAGGCAGTCCCTCTTCCCATTACTATGGAACCCACTTGGACACTAAACTGCCATGGGCTACATCTGTGCAGGGGTTCTAGGTTATCTCCATGCCTGGTACTTGGTTGGAGCATGATTCTCTGGGAAGACCCCTGTGTTCAAATTTCTGGTAGACATGTAATATAGGATAAACCTACTAAAATCTCTATATCTAAAGAAACTAATCAAGAGAGAGGACCCTGACTAAAATGCTCAATCCCCATCCTGAAAGGCAAAGAGGAAGGACATCAGAAGAAGAAGAAAACAGGAAACAAGCTAGAAACCTGCCACGGAGGGCCTCTGAAAGGCTCTGCCCTGCAGACTATCAAAGCAGACACTGAGACTTATGGTCAACTGTTGGGCAATGTACAGTATCCATCTTTTAAGGCAATATGTTTGCACGTTTCTATTTGATATCTGATGAGGCTTTATAATCACTTAGAAAACATACCTCACAGTTGCTGACCAACTACAAGTTGACAGTAGGTTTGCAGAAGAGGACAGTCATCAAAGAACATTCTCCTGTTATTCTGCCTGGTCTCCTTTCCACCAGCTTCATTGAAACACAGACGGTGGAGCAGCCATAGCACACACATCATTACCTCCAGCAAAACTGTTGTTCTGTAACTCTAACCCCAACCCCATCCTCACCCTCAGCAGCCTCAAGATCTGCAGTAGAGAACCCAGGTGTGGTGGTTTGAATGAAAATGTTTCCCATAGGCTCACAGGGAGTGGCACTATTAGGAGGTGTGGCCTTGTTGGAGGAAATGTGTCACTGAGGGCAGGCCTTGAGGTCTCAGATGCTCAAGCCAGGCCCATTGTCACTGTCTCTTCCTGCTGCCCGTGGATCCAGGTGTAGAACTCCCAGCTACCTCTCTAGAACCGTGTCTGCCTGTACGCTGCCATGCTTCCTGCCCTAATGATAATGGACGAATCTCTGAACTGTAAGCCAGCCCTAATTACATGCTTTCCTTTATAAGACTTGTGTGGTCATGGTCTCTCTTCACAGAATAGAAACCCTAGGACACCAGGCCAGCCCCAAGGTGCATTCAAAGCTTCCTGATACAGACTTATGCTGAGCCAGGGAGAAGGTGCAAAGAGGTCTGAGAGAGAAGATGGGTGGGGTAGGGGCCTGAGGGAGGAGAGAAGAGCTCTGAGGATAGGGCCAGATTAGAAAAGCACAGTCTGTGTGTGTGCAAAAGGAGACACTCTTACACGGGAGTGAGACTTCTAAAGACGTCCTTTCCCTCCTCTCACAGACAAGCAAGGGACCTAGGTCTACAGCACCGGGTCCTTCCCCTAGCTTGGGACAGTCTCCAGGCCCACTCATTGGAGAGATACCTTTTGGGGCAGGGTAGATGCCAAAAGCTCTGACTTTATTCCCTTCTCCTGAGCATCCTGCCGCTCTGGGGGCACTTTAATCTGGGAATTAGGATACAGGTCAAATGTCTCTCCTGATGGGATCCTGATCTTGGGGTGTAGTTGTGGAAGGCCTGGATGATGCCCACTTGACTTCTGTCATGATCTCTTGGACAGAAGCATGGGTGACTAGGCTCACTGAGGTGTCCTCCTTCACCTCCGCTGTCACTGCAAGCCTACCTGTTTCTTTGGGATTTCTTCCTTGTTTGGGTTTGGGGTGAGGACAGCTGTGATCTCTCTTCTCTGGCATCATTTATTTAGTACTCTTTTGGGGGCGCCAGGCCCCAAAGCCCCTTCTGTCAGAGGTTGAGCCTCACAGAGACAATAGTATACTTCTCTCTTGCTGTGATAGAAACACTGACCTAAAGTGACTAGCGGAAGAAAAGGTTTGTCTGGCTTACAGGTCACCGCCCAGCATCTGGGGAAAGCAGACTCTGGGAGCAGAGACTGAAGCAGAGACCGGGGAAGAATGGAGCTCACTGGTTTGCTCGGCGACTTTTCGTATACATCCCAGGCCCACTCGGCTAGGGATTGCACCCCTCACAGCGGGCTGGCCTCTCTTCTATCAATTAGCAATTTTACAAAAACACCCCACAGATACACCCACAGGCCAGTGTGATAGAGGCCTCTCCTCAGTAGAGGTTCTCTCTTCCTAGGTGATGCTGTGTCAAGTTGACAAAAAGTAACCAGTGCTCTGCACTCCTGGAATGTTGTACTACCGAGTTCTCGTCTGAGCCAGGTCCCTATAGTGGTGACCTTGGCCCACAGGGAAAACCTGGAATCCCATGGGAACACAGTACTTCTAAGTTACCTTTTTAACATTATCTGATCGTTATTGGCTTCTAAACTCAGAACAGTGACATAGATTTGCTGAGTGGTTAACTGATTGATGCGACCTTTGTGGAGAGCCTACCTTGCATCCTTCAGACACTCCCGAGAGTCCAATTTGAGGATGGAACAGTGAACACAGGCAAGAACCCTGCCCTCGTCTATGTGATGATCACACCAGACACTGAAGGATGAACACACACAGCCTTTGAGGGGTGACAAGTGAGGGGAATAATTAAGAAGAGCAGGAGAGGCTCCTGGGAAGACCGTCGTGAGGACTTTGAGCCGTGTTTGGGGAAAGCCTTACGGACAAGGCACACTTAAGCAGATAGCGAAGGAGACACAAAAATAATCCTGTGGCAACTCAGGAAAGGAGGTCTGTAGAAAGAACAAAGGTCCTCAGGCCATATATACTTGGCTGGGTTGAGGAATGCTTTTAGGAGCAGTGGGATTGAGACCGAGTGGATCAGGGGATGTGGAAGACAGCGAAGGCAGAAGGTTTATGGAGATCCTGTATGCCTGGCTTGTAAGAACTGTCGTAAGAACTCTGGATGTTTTTCTAAAAGATACCAGAACCCTTGGAGAGCTCTGACCAGAGAAGGGGGATGACTTGACTGATATTTTAAAGGCATCTGTCAGACTGATATACTCAAAATAGAGTCTAAAGGGCACAAGGGGTGCAGAAGGAGAGATGCATGCCTGAGCTCTCATTGGCAGTCAGCATGAGTGATGATGGTGGCCTGAACCAGGGAGGTGGCGTAGAGGTGGGAGCAGCAGCTAAATCTAGATATCCTGAAAGGCAGAAACTATCGAATTTCAGGCAGATTGCTTGCCTAGTATGAGAGACAAAGGAGTCAGATTTGAGTGTGATGGGTGTCCCTTAGGAGACGGGGAGGGAGGGGATATACTAGAAAGAGGTATAGGTGTGTGTGTGTGTGTGTGTGTGTGTGTGTGTGTGTGTGTGTGTGTGTGATGGGAGTATCACACTTACGTTCAATTTCATTACCTGACAAACAAGTACATGGCAATGCTGAATGGCTTAGTGAATTTAGAAGATATAGGTTGTGGATTCACATTAAAGTGATCTGGACTCTCCTTTGTTTTCTTACTTTTTCTGGTCCCACGGAAACCAGGCAGGAGACCTGGACAAGCATCTTTATACTCATGCTACTGATCTCCACACAATGGTGGTTGCAGAAAATGTGTCTTTTCAATGACACAGTCTAAAAGATCATGCATTACACAGACCTTCATAGGAGAGGGCTCTCTGGAAAACATAAGCCATGCAGTTATTCGTGCAAGAAATGAAGGTATTTTATTGAGATGACTTACGGAACTGAAAAACTCTACATCTAGCCCCCTTTCTTCTCCCCTCTCTATATACAACAAGGGCTTTACCAGCCAAGCCAAACCTATCCCATTGTGCTTATGAGATAGCGCCTCACACTGTGGCCCATGCTGGCCTTGAACTTGAGCTTAGCTCTCCTGCCTTGGCTTCCCAAGTGCTGGGGTTACAGGTACAAGTCAACCCTCTAGTTTGTTACCACATGTTTTAAACTAGACATCCTCTTTCCTTTTCCTCATTCTATTCTATTCAGATATTTCCTTAGTGTGGGGCTTTGTCTTAAGAAGAAAATTTGGCTGGTTAGATTTTTGAGACTGGAGGAGTGCAGTACCTTTGAAGTAATGTTTCTGCATGTTCTCTACATCTATCCAGTGTCTTTTTATACAGCTCTGTACTGTGAACTTGGAATGATGGCTTACCAACAGTTTGTTGACACTGTTAGAATAGTTAGTGGGTTCTAACTATTGTTTCAATAATTAATACAAGAATTGTAATAAGATGACAGCAATGGAAATTAATAACAGTGATTTAGGATGGTTATCTGTACAAATAAGTTTTAAAATAATTGTTCTTAATTGCTGTGCAATTCAATGGTAGTGCCTAGCACCCACAATTCCCTGTGTTTCATT